TGTCTTAATTTACTAATTTTAATCTGAAACATTAAACGTATTAGAATTTAGAAATATATTTTAAATATATTTTAAATAAATTTAATGCTTATGATAAACTTATGATAGATTTGCATTAGATACATGAATTTTTTAAGTACTTGAAACATGTAATACTTGTATACGTATTTTATATATAGTATGTATTTTTTTACAAGTATATTAATTTTCCATCACTTTACAACAAATATACAAATAACAAATATACAAAAATTATTAAGTGATTCTTGTATATATATACCTTTAATACCTTTAATACCTTTAAAAAAATATTTGTAAAGCTGTGTTTAAAAAAATTGTATATAAATGTTAGTAAATAATTAAGTATGCTCCTAGATTTTCAAAGAAAATAAATATACAAATGACCTATATATAATCATATGTATTAAGAATTATTAATTATCATTTCCTACGTAATCTAATTGTTACGTACAACATGTGTTATATAACATTTATATTATTGTAATATTGAGTAATTATAATACTACTAATAATTTTACTATTATATTTAGTTTTACTTTTATATTTAGTATTGGTTTACATTTTGTACTTGCTACTTATCTTTCTTTTTTTCAGCTTATTACTTATGGAATTGCCAGTGTCAGCCTATTTGCAGCCCTGTACAAAATTAGACCTGTGAGTCCAACTAATCATCTGTCTGCCTCCACAGATCTCACGATTGACTCTCTCTCATTGCTTTCCAGTTCGCCAAGTTCACAAAACCGTCTGATGTCCCATTGCATTTCTTGCAATCACGAGTCCCACTTCAAGGTACTGTACGGCGTGTGGAACCAAGTTCCACTAGGGTTCTGCTAATGGTCGATCATCGACCTTTACTGCCTTTTCTCCATTTAAACAGCAAGACTTACTTGCCTGTCAAAATCGGTGGCGTTAACATTACAGGCAACGGTAGATATTGAGTTGAACACAAAATCCATAACTATTTTTAAATTGTGGATCAATCTTGTAGGTGTAAGTTGGTTGCAAACTGTGCTCAATGAAAAACTCGTCACATTTGTGCCTGTAGTCAAAGAGAAGGAGTATTTGGAGTGCGTAGTTGCGATGCCACAGAAGGATCAAGTAAGAAAAAGAGACTGTTCTAGTTCTTTCCAAGAGAGACATAACATAACAGTGATCATTTCATTTTTGTTAACATTGGCAACAAGATGAAAATAGATAAGATTTGAAACATTCAATCAAATAAATTGAATAAAGATATTAATTTTATTAATTAATTTTATTAACGCTTCAATTGTCATGCTCTCCTTAGCCCTCAATTTTACTTTTAATTTTTTAAAGATGTAATGATTTATATTATACTGTGTCATTTGTCTCTTGTTGGAAAGCACCCAACATTGAATATTTATATTCTCTGTGTTCATGCATCATTTTTACAAATAGGATTCATTAGAGATTGGTGAGGAATTAGTCAAATTAGGTCTAGCTACAGTACACGAACCTTGGATAAAGCTAAAGGATAAGCAAGTTCTAGCGTATAAAAAATCTTTAGCAAACGCG